ATGCAGTCAGGTCCAGTCCAGGTCAGTAAGGTTTGCCATTTCAGCATGTCAGGTTTTACTTTAGTACGCTTGGAAATTGTTCCAGATTATTATGCAAATTTATATTTTCCGGTGGTTATTGTAAAATGAAAAATTATAATTTCAGATGAGGCCATTTTTCTGCCTTAATGCCTTCGTCAACAAACAAAATTGTCGCTATTTGGGTGATTAACATCCACGTGTTTTAGGAAACGCTTTTGCATCCTTAAGAATGTATATTTTGATGCGGATTGTGGTACGGCGGCTTCGTCGGTCCTTATTTCTTCCGAAATGAAGCACTTTTTTTCCCCCGAAATTTGATAAAAATCGACATGGAGAATCTCTATTTCCAAAAAGACGGTGTGCTGCCTTGTGTTTCAGGATAACACATAGTGAGAACAAGAGTTTACACAGCATTTTTTTTAAGGCCTCAATCGAGTTATGACAACCTCCTCGGAGCTGATATTTGAATTTCGAGCACGGTCCACGTTCAAAAAGAGTCTCTTCTGCCTTTATAAAGGGTGGTCCATTTCGAGGTTCTCTACTTTTTTTTTTTAAAGAAAAACCACAGAAACTTCAAATTTAATGGTGTAAGTCTTTCCATGATGAAATGCAAATTACTATTCAAATTTATATTAACAACAATGCGTAGACAAATTACAATGGCTCAATGGCTACGCAGAAAGATCAAGCAAGTGGGCGAGCATGGTACTTATGTTTGCAATAAAACACACGCTGGTCGACAAGCCAGACTTACAAACGAGCAACGGTGCTACATTGCTTGGAAATTATCATAAAGTATCATCGACAGCATCGTCCTAAGCGTTGAGTGGCCACCGAACAAGCGTCGACAACTTTTAGTTTCAACAAAAACATTCCACCGAAAAAAAATCAGCGGGCATTTAAGGAAACTCGTAAAACACGCAAGAAAAAATTGAAATTCAAGCAAAAATTCCACTTTCAGCTTTCTTCAGCACAAGGCAAAACACGCAAGCAGCTAGCATATGGACACATATGTGTGTATGTGTTTCAACTATGCTTGGTGAGATCGATGCTTGATCACACTTTACACAACGCTTTCCTCCCGCTGGCTGCCACCACAACTCTTAGCCATCGATTTGTGGACACGCGCTCGCTCGGCGGACATAAATATGCGCATATGAAGAGGTTTACTTGCATGTGTGTGTACGCGTTATTACTCTCCGCCACTTGTGGGCAGTATCGACCGCTTGACTAGCTGGTTTTCAGCTATTATTATTGCTCGCCATGAAGATATTGAGCAGCGCGTTCGCCATCAAAGCGGTAAACCACCCAAAAATTTATCGAAATCACCTCAGTTAATCACTCGTCGTAGCACGATCGAGACATGCTTGGCGAACGCTCGCTTCGTCTACAATTTCGACGGCGCATATTTGAAGTGAAATGAGCAGAAGCACGCAAGCGCGGCGTGAAGTAAATTTAAATAAAATTTTGTGCGCTACAAACTTTATTCGTGTATATTAAATTTCCGTAAATACTTTATAGTTTCGTGGCGGTCAGCGTGTGTTGTGGAAAAGTTAAAATCGTATATCTAAAGTATCACATAATTGATTAATCAATATAATTTATTTGAAAATAATATTATTATTCCGAAACAAACTAAAATTTTTCGGGAAATTACAATAAAATTGTAATGTGTTTTTGTTTTTTTTATATGCACGCATCATTTGTGTTGGAAAACATGCCTACAACAACAAAAGTGTTGTGTCAAAGTGTTTACCATTCTTGTGTCAATTGTCAGCGCGGTATGGCCCAGTGACAACGTCACGTCACAGCGTTAACCGTTATAATCTATATATGTGGTTACAAAAGAAAGCATGCAACTAAATAAGCCTCACAATTAGTGTTCTAAAGCTACAATTTTTTTTCGTGCGCAATTATTTGGGTTATACACACATATAAACCGGGGTATGTGCCTACAAACGGTCGGTCAGCTCGAAATACTCCAGCAATCGCATTAATATTTATTGATTATTATAGCTGTCGCGAATCGCTTGCGGCACAGGAAAGCCTTTAGTGTCTTTGTTGTTATTGTTAATGTTGTTTTTGTGTCAATATTTGTCTTGCCGTGTTGCTTGCTCGCCTTTCTTGTGTCGCTGTTCATTATTTTTGTTTAAGTTCTCTGCCTTGTAAATGCAAATTATGCCATATATTCTTTTCTCCTCCTTTTCGCCTCATTCTTGTTTAGGCAAATAAAGTGTTAATGTTTATCAACAAATCAACACGAGCGCATAAGTTAAAGTCGGCGATCCGCAACTATTTTTGGCAGCATTCGTGTGTTTTATGCTAATTTTATGCGCGCCAACTAATTAGCTGCATATATTTATGTGAGTGTGTGTGTTTGTGTAACAGGAAATAAACTTAATATAAAAAAATGTGTGTACGTGCCAAAGTTTCAGTTTATTTTCCATAATTACAATTTTATATGCATATATTAAAGTGTTTTTTTTTTTCAATTTTTTCGGCGTTACCAAATCAAGTTCGTGCCTTAAGTCTTTTGATTTGGCATTAAATTTCCAAGCCAATGTAAGTAGAGTGACAGTTAAAAACGTGACAATAAAAAACGTTAAAATATATTTGAAAATGAATTATTATTGAAGCAAATATATGGACATATGGATAAAATTAATGAATTCATTGAAAAGTTAATTGTTAAATGCTATTAAAGCTTAATTAAGCCATAACAATTTGTGATAATTAATATTAATACAATGATAAGAGGCTATTTGTGGCTGAAACCTTTGCACAGTAATTGTATTAAAATATGAATGCAGAATATTCAGCAAAACGTTATCATGCTGACAAATAAAATTAACAGTTGTTTAAAAAAATTCTTTACAAGTGGGAGGGAAATCATTATTATTATTGAACTAACATTTATATTAATTTTTTTTTGCAAAAATCTTAATTAAATATCCCCTTTGGGATAAAATCAAATACTGAACTGAAAAATTAAAAATGAAAATTTTTATCTAAAAATTCGCGCAAAAAATTAAAATTTTATTCCTAAATATCGTGTTGAAATGTATTCCAGGCTGATTATGAAAATCGAAAAAATGTGTGTTTTGAATTTCAAATTACCTTATTTCATGCTGCATTAAAAATACAATGGAGTTAACCTTAAATTTTGTTTGTATTCCGAAAATCATAGACAAAAATGTTTTTAAAATGAACACAAATGCCGGATTAAAACAGTAAAAACCAATTTTTTATCCCAAAAATCGAACTAGAAATTAAAAAACAAAAATATTTTAAATTAATTCAATTTTTTTTTTATTTTTAATTTAATAATTTTTCTTTTGAATAGAAAATAATGTTAATATCAAGTTTATAATTTAAAAAAATTATGTGATTCCCATAATGACATATAAGTTTTCTCATCTGATCAAAAATTGAATTTTGTCATTTCAAAAAGTAAAATTAAACTTTTTTCTGTTATCGGTTTATCTAGAAAATATTTTTTCAAATATTTTACTGTGTGTTCGTAATATAGTATATATGTATAAATATGTCCTTAAGATTTTAAAACAATTGATACAGTAGTTTTTTTTTAATCTCAAAAATTACCACATTGTGCTATCACACTAGGAGTTCCCCTTAATGCTTTTTATACCAGCTTCTTATTTGAAAAAATTAAATTTTTTTACTCCAATTTATATATTAAAAATTTTTTTTATCAATTTTTAATTCTAGACATCGTCAAGAATCCTTCATCCGATAGTGAAGGATTTGCATTTTCATAGAAGATGTTTTGTAGTATCCTCTACTTCTATCATCTAACAGTTTCCACAATAGTCATTGTATAGTATTCTCCTCCAGTATTATCACTCCTACTGAAGTTCTTATGCCATTTCTTTTGTATTTTAATTGCCAGCATAAGCGCCCCCTATTCCATTGACACGTTTGCCTGCTTGTTGAGGAAGTTAGGGATTGACTCTATCATCCATCAAAATTATGTTGTATTCAATAAGTATGTTAAGTAACCATTTTTATTAAAATTGTTTATTTATTTAAGAATTTTATTGTGTTTTGTTCATACTAACCTAGGCGAAATAAAAACACTTCTTTAAAGAATCTTCCAATGCTCAAATCACTATTTAGATACACCTGTTGGTATAGAGTTAATTTATTCCTGGGATGCATATTCTTTCATTATTGTATCCTTCGAATTCTGTATTGGATGAAAAAATTACTTTTCGTCATTTATAACCCATTGAAGCAATCAAAATATTTATGAACTTTATTAAGTAGCCGCCCACTGTTTTTTGTTCTTTGAAATTATTCCTTTTGAGAAAAGGTTTTCTGAAACTGTCCACGAATTCTGAAAAAATCTGCTAACTCCTATAATAGGAACCCTAAGAATATATACAATAGTTTTTCTCATTTCTTAAACATTTCTATAAGTTATTGTTGGACAGACACTTTTTTAATAAATTTATATATTTGTTACTCTGAGCCACAATCGCTGAAAGTATAACAATTTAAAGAAAATTAATTAGCATTTCCATGTAGGCCACGAAATTTTTCCTCGTGTTTTAAGCACACTTCATAAATAAATACTTCAAACAAAGTACTGTAATCTCTTAAAGGGCTTTCATAGTGTGGAAAGAACTTTACAAAAGCTGTTGCAATCCAACTGAAGTTCCTTTTAGATATAAAAATAACCATATAATGGTCCATATAAGAGAATCTGTCACAATTCTTCAATAAAATTATTTATGATATCACCTAAGAAAACCAAATTATTCTTATCATAAAGAATATATATAAAATTAGATAACATTTAAATATAAACACAATTTTATAATAAATATTATCAACTTATTTTTTCATTCTTTTTCCTATTTCCAGTTGCCTTCGATTTTTTTTCAACGGGAGTAATTACTTTTAACCTAAAAACTGACTGCCACATAAACACAGAAACTCACTTAATATAAAAAAAAAATAGCACAACAAGCTGAAAAATAAAATAAAAAGCAGAAACAATTTTGCTGTGTTCGCAACCAACAACCTACGCTCGACCATAACAACAGCAACGCCGGCAACCATAAGGTGCATAAGGCATATTTATTGCTTTTTGAATTTTGGCCAAGTCACAAGATTACAGTAAAGAAATATAAAAAATGGCTCTACGCCTGCGAAGAGATGTACAAAAAGCATCCTATTATGTTTGGTTTCTGGGCGCCGAGGAGGCGAAAGGTTTGCGCGGCACACGTGTCATCAACTCGGTGCTGCCGTATCTGATTGATCGGTCACGCGGCCAAGAGCCGCTCAAGGTGACGCTGCAGGTCTCCCACAAGGGTATCAAAATATTGCAGGTGAGTCAAAGTTGATAAACTTTTGTGAAATAGGTAATTTTTAATGATTATTGCGGCAGGAATTTGGTAATGCTGTTGATATACAATATGTTTTTTTTTTTGTTTTTTGTTAAAAAGAGTGGTGGCAGTAGATAGTTTAGTTTCAAAGAAATTTTTTAATATTTTTTCATAACTGGTTAAAGTGAAATAAAAATCTGTAGAAACTAGCTGAAAACTATTAAAAGTTTGGTAATTTTTTAATTAATTATATTTATTACTTTTAATTAGATAATTTTATAAGATTAAATAAGCTGAAAATAGTTTTTCTTTGTTGACAAGATTTTTATAAAATATTTAAGTTACAACACTTTCGTTACTACATTTTAGATACTAATTATATTTAGACCTTAACTAGTTGAGTTTTTGACATATCGATCTGAAAATTGACACACGCCTTTTTCACCCCAAGAAGCCGCTTATTTGTCGAAACCGCCGATTTTGAACCGCTAGAACATTTAGCTGTCATACAAACTTACCTTTTTTATTTGACGAGATATCTTCACGCAATTTAGCATGAACTAATATGCAAAGCAACGCCACAATCTCCAAAGAAATTGTTCAGATCGGACTACTATAGCATACAGCTGTCATGCAAACTGACCGATCAAATTAAGGTTCTTGTATTGAAAACTTTTTTGTTTGCCGAGGTATCTTCACGAAATTTGGCATGAACTATTCTCCAAGGCAACAGTACAATCTCCGAAGAAATTTTTCAGTTCGAACTACTATAGCATATAGCTGTCATACAATCTGGCCGATCAAAACCAAGCTTTTGTATGAGTTTTTTAAACTATTTTTGTATTTTATTTTTTTGTTTTTGTATTTTTACAATAAATATTTTTGAACAATAACTTCCATATTTTAATTATAAATTAATATAATTATAAATATAATTATAATATATTCACTCAACAGGGCTCCTCAAAACATTTCATACCACACAGTGCCATAACCAGCTCCGTGCAAACGGATGATATCGTTGCATGTGTTTTGTTGCTTTATAATCCGGCAACGAAATGTCCACTGCACGTACACGCCTACCGTTGCGATTCTGAGTCAACAGCCGAGGCGTTGCATCAACAGCTCCAAATACTAATCAATCGGCCAGAAAATCAAAAACGTTTTGAGGAATTAGAAACACGGTGAGTACACGCAATTTTCATTATGCTTCTACGCAGTGACACTCAGGCAAGTTTGTGTCTTAAGTCTTTTATCTCCGTTGGTGAAAGTTGCCAAAGCATATCTGCAAAAATCTGCGTTGCTTGTGCACAGGTGACGAAATTTCAAGATGTTTAGAGTTTGTGCACATCTTTTTTTATACGAAATTTCTGCGATTTATTCATCGATTAACTGTTTGTTGGGGTTGAGGAAGCACATTGTTGCACAATCGCTTCAAAGACACATACATACATGCAAGTTATCACTGAAAGCGTGAAGAAATATTTATTTATATTTTTGTTTGCAATTTTCTACAACAATATAAAAGCGGCGGCGCTCAAAATTCACAAAGAAACGCAAGCATAACTTTATTTTATGGCTGCGAGTTGTGGCCGTGCACACACACAACACCACATTTGTATGGCAATAACACAAAGACATTTTTCCTTTCTTCCTCGCAGCAATGGCTGTTTACACGGAAGTGATTATTGCTGCAAATCTTGCAATAATAAAGTCTAACAGTTCAAAAATAATATGCAAATTTCGAAAACTTTTGTTTTAAAAACCAACTGGCTTTTTAAGTGATGAGCATTGATTGCACTGTAGTGCCACACACACGTCAGCCACACGGCGGCATTTAAAATAGGCAAGTTACCGCAATCCCCGTCATTTATGATGCAACTGCCTGACGTTGTTTACGGTTCTTCCTCATGCGGTGTGGCATGCAACGGCTTTTGCGACAAGTTTCGTGTGCGCTTGGGACTTTTTTCACTTCATTGCATTATTTACCGCTATTCCATTAGACTGCATGCCGTGTTCATCTATATGACAGGGTCATTAATTAATTGTGGCAATAATGGGAGATTAGAAAAGAAAAGAAGTCTATGTTGTTGGTGTAGTTTTTGCTGCATTTTCGTCGATTGTCTAAATGGCGAGTCAGCAAACACGAATGCCAGCTGCAGTTGAATAATTAATCACGTTGAAAATGCCGCAATATGACGGAAATTTTTAATGCTCATACTTTTTTGTGCTGATTACAAGTACAGTTATAATATTTAAGTTTTTTTTTTCTATAATTTCACATGCGCCCTGAATACATATAATATTTGCGCTGTAAAATATCAGCGGCACGTGTAAGAATACTTAATATTTTATATGGACATATACCAAAATCAAAATTGAGTTTTTTATTGCATACGATTCACTACATCGTATTACATATACGTAGCATAAATTTTCAGCTTCTGCTGTAGATATAGCCAATATATAACCATTTTATAACCATTTTATAACCAAAACTCAAATTTTTTTTCAATATGAGTGGTTGCTATTAAAACGTTTTTCCTTCGTCTGTAAATTTATGAAAAGTGATGTTACGTTATTTTACATTTTGGGTGGCGATATGTATTATATACTTGATTATACATATTTTTCAGTATCAAGTCGGTGTGGATTGTCATGATTCAGTCGCAATAATAGTTTTTACATATGTAATAAACCCATTTAGAAAAAGAACTCGATTTCATTTTCGAGAAAAAAATATTCCTTTATACTTTGGAACACCTTAATGTATATACATATATATATACAAATGAGCATATTATTTTCTATTTGCAATTGTCGTGTGCATTCAAGTTTTCTTAAGATTCAACCCTGTGGGCGCAATTTTTTTCCTTTCAAGCTTCAAGCAATAACTTAGCGCTTTCTCCTTTCTGCCAACATGTTTCCTACACATCAATTGTGCAAAGTGGGCGCCAGTGAAAACCACAACCAAAAATATATAAAAACATTTGACACCAATTGACACACTAACACTTGACACCCAACTTTGTTTAATAATTTCTTGCAATGATTCAGATTTGTGAATGTTGAGAATGTGCGAAATTCCTCAATAATACTATATGTTAACAACAGTTAATCAAAAGCGAATTTGCGCTGCTCAATATCTGTGGGAGGAATTTATGTACATATGTATGTATGTATATGTACTATATGATAACTAAATATCACTATAAGAAAATACAGCACAGCTATTGTTATATGGTGTGCAACTGTCCTAAAAAGATAGCTTTCTATATTATTTTTATAACTTTTTTGTTATTTATATTTGAATTCTTAAACGAGTACAAATAATCATTTAGCAATTCATAAGTAATTACTAAGTTTTAGAGCAAAGATACAGAGTCCTCAAAATCTTTAAATTCTACTTAAGGCTTACTTTATATTTGTTAGCGTTCCAAACATTATTAAACTTACAAATCAAGAACAGGACTAAGCATTATATTGTTAGTCTAAAAAATAATTTCATATTTCTAATCAAACTTCAACTTATGTATATTATTTTTTAAACAACTGTAATGAACCAAATATGCACCAATTTGGTCGACCACTTTTTGCCATTTTTCCGCTACAGAGAAAATATTATTCCATTAATGTAAAACTTTTCTGGTTTCTCGGCGAAAAACTGCGACAAGTAATTTTCACAGGCTTCTCTTGAAGCCAACTTTACTCCATTAAGGGAGTTCTGCATTGATCGAAACAAATGGTAGTCCGATGGTGCACGGTCAGGGCTGTATGGTGGATGCATCACAACTTCCCATCCAAGCTTTCAAAATTTTTGCCGAGTCATCAAAGATGTGTGTAGTCTAACTTTGTCCTGATGGAAGACGAAGCCCTTTCTGTTGACCAGTTCTGGCCGTTATTTTCGATTGCTTGCTTCAATCTTATCAATTGTTGACAGTAAAATAAGCATCAATCGTTCGACCAGGCTGGAACAGCTCATAGTGGATGATTCCTTTCCAATCCCACCAAACACTCAGCATAACCTTTCGAGGCGTCAATCCTGGCTTTATGACCATTTGTTGAGCTTCATTTCATTTCGTTTCACCAAAGAATCGCAGATGTTAATTCGGTCAATTAAATTTTTCACAGACAATTCATGTGGTGACCAAACATTGAGCTTCTTTTGGTTGCCAGCCTTTTTTTCATTAGCGATGTTATGGTTGCTTACGAGTACGTTATGGTCCTGGTCAATATTTTCCTTTTTTTTATCGCTCTACAGATCTTTTACCCGGAATTCCAAAAAGCTACATTTTCATTTGTTTTTATAATAAATATTTATTAATGCATTCAAAATAGACTCCTCAATATAATCATGCCAATCTTTAATCCAATTTTCGATACAATTGTTATAAACGTAGTTGGAATGGCCTCCAGTGCATTCTGAGAATGGCATTTAATGACTTCAATGGACTCATGGGTTCCACGAAGCGGATTGATTTCAAAAGATTCGGGTCTTTTGATACGAGTCTTGCATTGGCACGTTTCATACCCAAAACATTAACCAAAGTGGTTGAGTTGCTCCATAAGAAGTGTTGAGTTCCTCTACTACTATCTCTCTGCTGTCCCACTGGTTCTTCGTCATTACGAGTAAGAGAGGTGTATGGACGACTCGCATGAGATAAGTTTGCGATGACTTTGCAACGTCAACTAGAAGCTTTGTGCTATTCAACGCGTGTGTACTTGATAAAGTAGATTTTCCAAAACACTTTTATAACATTTTCAACGGTTCCGTAGCCGTAGTTTCATTCAGTCGTAAACAAACATATTCATACACTAATAGATATATGAAGATAAAATTTCACCCGAATATAAAAAAGTTGTGCCAATCAAAGGATTGAAAATTAGAAAAAAAAAAATATTTTTCGGTAAAGTCTTCTGTGAGACCTCAAAAATTTGCCAAATACTTAGAAATAATATTAAAAATCATACATATCGTCACCTAAAATACAAAACAACGCATCATCAAAAAAAGAATCGAAAATCGTTGTCAGATATAATAACTAAAATATAACCATTTTATAACAAAAAGACAAATTGTGTTGCAATAGGCACGGCTTCTATTATACTGTAAACTTATGAAAAGTGATGTTACGTTATTTTGTATTTTAGCTGACGATATTCTTTTATAAACAGCGAATATATATTATGTAATATTCGTCAAATTGTTATAAAAAAACCAAAATGTCAGCTTAAGAACTTGTTTTCTGATTGGCACTTTAAAATAAATGGATATTTGACTGAATGTCTAATGGCTTAATAGGAGAATAAATGAGACATAATCATTTCAGCTGCGTCTGCGGCCGCTCAAGCGCCCAATTCCGGTTTCTCTAGCCCCTTCAATTCATCAAAGAACTGCTATTTAGCTCAGTTTATGTCATATATTTTTTTATACACATACACTTATACAATTTACAAAGATATACATAGCACATACATATATGTTAAACCTCTTCAAATCACTTCAATCCACCTAGAATCAACATTATGGGAAACTTGTCTGCAATAACTACCCACAAATAGATCGCGAATTCCAAATCGGCATTTGTAATGAAACTAAAAATAATTCACAAATTTGAAATTCAATACTGACTTCATACAATGTCGTTGGCGTCGTTTCGCCAACAACTCACAAATGGCATCTTGAAAATGTCAACGCAAACGCCAACATGAAACGACAGTCAGAAGACAGCAGGAAAACACGCAAAAAAAGACCAAAACCAACCAGTGCACACCAAGTGAGGCTAGACTAGGCATTGCGACAAGACCGCCGAACTGGCTGAGACCACACAAAAGTGCCAAAAGCGCAGTGTGCATGCATATTACTGCACAAACAAACATGCTTGAATACCTGCATAAATACATCCATAATCTTCGGTTAAATGAGCAAATGATGTAATCACTTCGGCGCTGATTTGTTTTAAGGTGCAGCAGGCCGTTCTCGTGCACCTACTACCAACCAGTGCGATTTTATGAGCAAGTGATATTAAAGCTTAAAAGCATCAAATAAACTTTTATATAAAACGAACGGTAAAACGGTAACCCAAAACAACAACTTAACCTTAATCCGCGTATTTATACAAGAAGTAATGTAAGTAAAGTGTTCTAAACTCGGCTGTGAGCAGCGCATTTAACTCGCTTGGCGACATTTGATTGCTGCTTGCTCTTCGATTGTTTGCTCGTAAATTGCAAATTTGAGAAGATAGCGGAGTTATTGCCGATTCGTTTGTGGAAAATGTCGCAACGAACTTACATTCATATAAATCCATGTATGTAAATACATATGTACTGCGCGCATTTAGGTGCAACATTTTACTGCCTACCAGCCTACCATCGAATTGTGGCTTTTTTAGTTCAACGTAAGGCTGCACTGTTTATTCCCGGAACAGGGTATACTAATTTTGCCTGCATGCAGAGCTGAGTCGATTTAGCAAGGGCGGTCTGTCTACACGTCTTTATATACACGAAAGTTCGCATACGTCCTTTCATCTCCAAGAAGCTTCTCATTTGCTGGAACCGAAATCTTATCACTAATACAGGTTTTGTCCGGAAAGTTAAAGCACTGAATTGATTTAAAAAAATTTATTGAACCAATCTTTACAATTCTTTAAGAACTTTCAAAATTGGCTTCTTCTGCGTCGATGCAGCGCTGCCAGCGCGATTTCCAAGCATTGATATCGTCACGGAAGGAATTCTCCGGAATAGCCTTGAGAGCCGAGGAGCGTGCTGCTTGGATCTTCTCTGTCGTCTTAAAATGCTTGCCTTTCATCGGCCTTTTCAGGCAAGGATGCCGGCATTGGTTAGATAGCTGTTCACAAGAAAGGCGGTGTGAGCCGGGACGTTGTCGTGGTGCAACTTCCAATAGGCTGCGACGTCTTGTCGGACCCGATATTGACCCTTCGTTTGAGTCTCTTGAGGACTTCCATGTAAAACTTGGTGTTGACGGTTTGTCCAGGAGGATGAAATTTATGGTTGACGATGCCTTTGATGTCAAAAAAGACTATGAGCATAGTTTCCACTTTGGATTTGCTCATTCTTCCCTTTTATGAGTCTCCCAGCACGGTCTTCATCAGCGACCTCTTCCCGGCCCTTCAAAAAGGTCTGGTGCCACCGAAACACACCACTTCTTGCTAAAGCAACATCTCAGTAAGCCTGCTTGATATATCAAACGTCTCTGTGGCAAATTATCCGAATTTCACACAGAATTAAATCGCGTACCTCTTCCAACGAACGCTGCATTTTCGGCTTGCACCACTCACAGAAACACGTCGCACGAAAATGTTTGTCCTGACTCTTGAGATGCTCGTAGACAACTGACTAGCCGCTCGGACGTTAGCTAAGAACGCCCTCTACCGAATCCATTCGGTGCGCGCACGCTGCGAAAGTCACGGTGGAAGAAAATTAGTCCTATTACTTTCCGGAGAAACCCTATATGACGATATTTTCATTGCGATAGTTACCTGTGAGGTTTATATCACACATTTTTCTGTCCTTTGATTACTAAATAGAGCTGTGTGAGTTCCAGCATGACCTGTAGTGCTGCCATCTGGCAGATGCAGCCAAGCCTTTGCAGGTTTGTTAGTTAAAGTCCTACCAAAACCTGCAACGCTTTCGAAGCCCAAGCCATCGCTTCATACGCAAAAATCGGTGTAGTCAGCATAACTTTTCCAATAGATTCAGAACTTTCGATCCAAGTCTGATGGTTCGTAAACAAAATATAAACCAAAATTAATGAATCCAAAAATTGAAAAAATGCCACAATTTTCGTGCACACTTTCATGACACACAAATACTCTCGCTGTGGAGGAAATTGAGAACTAAAATTTCAAGATATCTTAACCTTAGCTCCCTTAATTCTTAAGACTTGAACGTGTGGTAGCCAAGCCCCTCAGTAATCCCAAAATGATCTGAATATAATTTTACTCAAAGCCTTCCACTTAAACTTCTTCCTTTTCTTATTCTTTGAAACAACTTTGATACATTTCAACTACAGTAATAATAGATTAGTTTTAAAATTTTCTTTACAATACTAAAAAATAAATAAAAAATATTACCATCCTAACAAACTAACAACCGTTCATGTTAGCTGCAAGCCCACTTGTCGGGCATTGTTTATGCCGCCCTTCGGCAAGTGTCGATGCTTGGAGACGCACATAAATTTCAGGTGACGGAAGTGCACTAGCTGGCGGGCAGTCATTGCAACTGCTTTTGGTAATCTGGTGTGACTTGTGCCGTAACTTTTTTAGCACTTAACACACACCTACTTGTCGACGTGTCGCCGATTTATAATATTACTTGCCACATTGCAATGTCTTTTTGTAAACTTTTCTTTTTTTTATTTGTAATTCCTTTTACACTGCTATTCATGCGCATTTGTTTCCTTTACTTTTGCAGTTTGGGCATCCTGCCGCCATTGCCCACGTCCGGCGGCGGCGGCGGCAACAACAGCAATGGCAAATCTGCAGCCCACATGTCTAGCAATGGTCACGGCAACGAACACAACAACAGCAAGTCCAAACATTATTTGTCACAACAACCGCAGTCACAACTGCTACATCAGCAACAACAACAACAGCGCCGCAATGACTCTTCACCGAAACGATTTAGCTCGTCGCTGGGCAGCGATACCGGCAATAGTACACGCGAATCCGAATGCAGCGAAGAGCATAGTGGAGGTTCGCCCGTTTCGCGTTCACCGCCAGTCACGGCGACCACAAAACCACTGCCACTGCCACAGCCCACTAGCGAGCTATTCGACTCCTTAGCCGCAGAGCTGCGTGCCAAATTGAATGGTAATGGACCGCCTTTGTTACTGCCACCACGCGACTACGACACAGTACATCGTTCCAAGGGTAATTTGACAGCCATCGAGCTTCGGCGCTGTCGCAATGCATTGATTGTGGGCGGCGCTACACCGAATGAGACAGCAGTGCCTGTCGGGGGCAAGCAGGTCTCTTCGCGCGGCTCATCGGGCATCGGTTCCGATTTGGCGCCAAGCCCAGAGCGGCAGGATTTAAATAGTTCGAGTGGTGAGTTTAGTAAAGATAAATTCAATTGAAGTAATTTACTAACATCGTTTTTCTTTTCTTATCTTTTTTCTTTCGCAGAGGATGAGCAGTGGTCTAATGAAGCAGATAACTCAGTGATCGCGCTCAAACCGTCACAGATCGCTATGGAACGTTCACCGCCCATAATTCCACATCATCCGCAATTGAATCGCAAGAGCGCCGTTCAACCACCAGAGGATAGTTATTTGCGTGATTTACCTGCTAAGCCGTATACGCCGCGTCAAAGCGCGCATCGTGAAAAAATCGCTGGACCCCCACACGAACGCGATCCACGTTCGAAGACCCCGTCGACCGCGAGCTGGTCGCGCGAGGATGAAATCAAGCCAATCATAATGCGCCCAGCTGATTACGATGCGAAATTTAATCGCGTCATGCAGGCCGAGACCAAACAAGATTATCATCGCCGCGCCGATGGTGGCGGTGGAGGCGGCGGTGGCGGCGTTAACAGCAATAGAGAACGCGAACGCGAACGTGAGCGCGAGCGCGAGCATCCAAAGCTGCGCGACACTGATAAATACAATGAAATCAATCGTTTATTAAACAAAAAACTTTCTCTGGAACGTGAAACGCCAGATCCGCGTTTAGCAAAACACAAACCAGATGATGGGGAGGACTTTAATGACTCGGATCCGGCTAGCGATCATATGCCCGTGCATCCGTCCTCCAACTATAGCAAGGAAAATTTAACAGATAAACAAAAATTCATCCAATACGCCGCAAAGAAACAGTCCAAATCATTTGCTGTCGACGAAGCACATCGCTATGGCGGTCGTCATCGTTATGTCGATCCAGCCGATCTGCCCTTTGAACAAACCGCAAGCCATAACAAATATGCGGCTGCTCATCGTACTACACACTCGCCAGAGCGTTCAGAATTAAGCCACACCCGCAGTAATGAACGCGATCGAGAGCCAGAACGTTTGCGCGAACGAGAAAAGGAACGTGAACGCGAGCGCAAGCAATATTCGCGCAGCAATGAGCGTAATCCATACCGCGAACCTGAAAGCCTACCCTATATACAGAGCATGGAGAAGATGATGAAGTCATCTGCCATGCGTTACAAGGCTTTTGATGGGACAGTGGAGCCGGTGACAGTAGCAGCACCGAAGGAAGAGCTCCACACAAAACTCAGTTCACAGCATAGCAAATCATCGTATACAAAGCGGCTCAATGATGACGGACGGCCAATGGAATATGCACACTCAAACGGGCGACCCGATGTCACCCCCAAAGATCGCTTCAAAGATGCCAAGGACAAATTCCGCGCTATGGAACGCACTGGTAGTCGATACGATCTGGCCGAAGAGAAAGACATCACCGATTTTAGACCACGACGACGCGGTTCAGTTGAGCGCGCAGATGGCGGACGTTCATATGCTGACTGGAGTGATGAGGAACGCCTCGATGACTCGCCACCACCGCAACCAATCGCTGCACGTTCGCGCTCACGATCACGCGGTCAACTCTGGGAGGAGAGCCACATGCCACCACCACGCGAAATGATGCCGCCACGTGAACATCACTTGCGCGAACATGGCCGAGAGCGTCCATTTCAAGAGCACGCGCCAGATATGCGTGCACCACGGGAATCGGCAGGCAAACGACCCGACGCGCATCGCATAATGCGTGAACGCTCCAGCGACATGACAGATGGTCGTGATCCCTACCGTGATGCATACCGGTATGAACAGCGCGGCGCCCTACGTGATCACTCACGTGACGCGCCACATGTACGCGACGAACGCGAACGCGAGCGACATCGCGAACCATTGAGACGTGAGTACTCGCCTGATGTGCGCGCAGCAGGTCCAACAGAACATCGCACGAATCGGCGACAAACTGAGAAACATACAGATTACTATCCTTCACCCACACCGCCGCCACCCATTACCGGTGCGCCGATACCGAATACAAAGGGTATCGCCAATCTTGGAAAAGGCTATCGTCACAGCTATGCGGAGCCGGTGTTTGCGCGCGCCGGAGGGCGCGTAGGCTTGGCGGCCGTGAACCCATACTAAAAAAGGATGTCGAAAATGCGGTTTGGGGTTTATTTGGAAATACATACTTGGTTTCACTGTAATATTACTAATAATATACTAATTTAGTATAAGTATTGAAAAGCAGAGAAATTTTAAAGCAGTATGCAATTTTGATGGCAGCAAGTATTTGGTAAATTGTTTGCAGTTAATGAACAATTTGTAATATGCGAAAAGCTATTTGAAATTTCTTTAATATTTTAAATCATATATTGTATCAAATTTATAAATAATCGACGTATTTACTTATATACAGCTGTTTAGAGCGCTAAAAAATGTTTTAAGCATTGCTGGAATATATAATATGTATGTATGTCTCTAAAAGTTTAGTCAAAACAAGAAAATCATTACCGATAATGTGCCTTTTTATACGAACAAGCTAGTTAAATTTATCGAAAAATCAACGAAAATTAATTAAATAAAATATTGCAAATTGTTACACAGATACGTACTTGCAAATATCTAAATTCATGTATGTATCAAATTTAATATATATACATATGTATTTTTGCAGTAATTTTTATAAATCGTCAAAAATTGTACTCATATTTTACAATTCATCTGCATAAAATGTATGTATAATCTATATTTTTCTTCAATTGATTTGGTTGGTTGTTACTTTGAAGAAAAAATGTTATTTTATAACCTAAATTTTCAATAAAGAAGTCTAGTTGATATATCTAATCCATTTATTATGTGTTTTATTGCAAATTACACGAAAATCAACCCGCAGGTGAGAAAATAAATAAAACCCCTAAAAGTATGCAACACTTCTGCTGCGCGCAGTGAATGTGCACAAACGCCAAATTTCAGCAACTCCCATTTACACCAGGCACCCAGAAGTGCCCAGCAAGCAGCCGCCCTGCAAAAATGCCGCCGCGAATTCGAATTTGTAAATGCAGCATATGCACCAGGCGCCCATAACCGCACAGTAGGGTGCCATTATGCAAGTTTTTGTTGTTGCATTTTTATCCGGACCGAATGATGCCAGATGTTTTAAAACGAAATACCGCATTTATTAGATATTTTGCGGAATTTTGAGGAAATTTTCAATAAAATATAAGGAGAACGCTACCAAATTTTAAATAAGCATATTTATTTTTAAAATTACTTTTTCTAAATATACAAATAAATAATTACAAAATAAATTAAACAACCACACAACTATAGAGTTTTATTTTAATTAATTTGTACCAAAAGCGTAAAATAAGCAAGCCAGTAGCTAATTTTCGATTTGCAATATTCGTCAATAGAAATAAAATATTTTACTGCAGCAAAAGCCTCACATTTCCTTTATTTTACTTCGGTTTAAACCCGTCAATTACCCAAAGTGTAAAATAAGCAGGGCATTAGCTAATTTTCGATTTGCAATATTCGACAATAGAGATAAAATATTTTGCTAATACCAACAGCATCCAAAATTTGTATTTTACTTCGTTTTAAACCCCTCAATTTCTCATAATTTCCACATTTCCGAGCACCAGCACCTGGAAAAAAAAGAAAAAAATGTGTAAACATTCAACTTAAGTAACCCTTTTTCTTTAATAAATTATATTTTCCTTAGTTTGTTCCACGTGCATACCTAGGAATGAAGATCTTCTACTTTTAGTAAAAAATATGTCTCCGCTCACTTGTGGTATGTTTATAAAGAGGAAGCGATATTCAGATGACAATTTATGCTTGTTCCAGCAAAGTTGATAAATTTTTTATATTATTTCGGCAATTACTATGCAATTTTTCTTTTATTGCTAAAGAACAACTAATTTGTATAACTGCTCACAGTAACTGTAAACTAGCCGCCTGACCAGTCATTTTTATGCTATTATCCGAAATAAGGATGCCAGACTGTAATTTTTATTTATATGTATTTAGTAAATTTTAGGGTATATTTTTGTTTTGTTATTTTTACCAACACAAACATTTGCGATGTTATGTTTTATTACACATATACCTATAAATAATTTTTTTTTTCTAATCGTGGCACATATATTGCAATATTGTCCTCTTCTAATATTTTAGGGAAATTTTTATTACGGCGAAACACTACTGGTTAACAGTCCAATTAGACGCAATCAGCTGATCGTCAATTTTCTAGTTTATAAACAATTCTATAACTAACGCCGATTAAAGCATTATAATGTCAACAAATGGTAATTATGAATATAAAAGCACAATTTTTTCACTCTGTTTTATTTAAAACAATTGTTAATTCCTACAGGTATTGAACCGGTTGCTAAAAAGCCGAAGGTAGAGCCAAAGCTAGCCGCAAATGGCAAGGTGAAGGAAGAGCATGATGAATATGGTAAGAACTAAGCAATGCGTTTGTTTTGACGAAAATATTACAAATTTTACTGAATTAATTATAGAACTTGAACCGTCTGCATTTAATCCAAAGTATCGTGTTTGTCCATATCTGGATACGATTAATCGCCACTTACTGGATTTTGATTTTGAAAAGTTATGTTCAATCTCGCTAACCCGCATAAACGTTTACGCCTGTCTTGTGTGCGGCAAATATTTCCAAGGGCGCGGCACAAATACGCACGCTTACACACATTCCGTATCGGAGGCGCATCATGTTTTTCTCAATCTACAAACATTACGTTTCTACTGTCTGCCAGATAATTATGAAATTATTGACTCCTCGCTAGACGACATCAAATATGTACTGAACCCCACTTTTGAACCCAAAGATATAAGACAGCTGGATCGCTCCGAACCGAAGTACTCACGCACAGTCGACGGCACGCTTTATCTACCCGGTGTTGTGGGCTTAAATAACATAAAAGCGAACGACTACTGTAACGTGGTGCTGCACGCGCTATCACACGTGGGTCCTTTACGTGATTACTACTTGCGTGAACAGAATTATGCGAAAATAAAAAGACCACCTGGTGATTCTATCTTTAACCTAGTGCAACGTTTCGGTGAACTTATGCGAAAAATGTGGAACCCACGAAATTTTAAAGCACACGTGTCGCCGCACGAAATGTTGCAGGCGGTAGTGTTGTGGTCTAATAAGAGCTTTCAAATAACGGAACAAGGTGATCCTATTGATTTTCTATCTTGGTTCTTGCACACACTACATCGTGCACTGAAAGGCAACAAAAAGCCCGATTCTTCAATCATACACAAAATCTTTTTGGGTGAAATGAAAATTTATACGCGCAAAATTCCGCCGGTAGAGCTGGATGATACGCAGAAATCATTACTTTTAGCTACAGAGGAATATCAGGAGAAATGTGAAGATTCTAATTTTCTATACCTGACATGCGACTTGCCCCCGCCACCGCTGTTCACCGACGAGTTCCGCGAAAATATCATACCACAAGTGAACCTTTATCAATTACTCGCAAAGTTTAATGGAACGACCGAAAAAGAGTATAACACGTATAAAGACAATTTTTTGAAGCGCTTCGAAATCACGCGTTTGCCACAATATATTATACTATATATCAAACGTTTCACGAAGAATACGTTCTTCCTGGAGAAGAATCCCACCATTGTCAATTTTCCGATTAAGTAAGTAGTTTTATTACTTCTTTATTCTTTGTTTAAAAATTTTAAATTTTGAACAATTGCAGAAACGTGGATTTTGGCGATATTTTGTCAATGAAGAATCGTGAACAACTCAAAAATACCAAATATAATTTGGTAGCAAATATCGTGCATGATGGTGAGCCGAAAAAGGGCACTTATCGTGCGCATATTTTGCACAAAGCCAACGGTCAGTGGTATGAAATGCAAGATTTGCATGTAACGGAAATTTTGCCACCCATGATCACGCTTACAGAGTCATACATACAGATTTATGAACAAAATAACGATTGATCCAATGTACCATGTGTATGTAAATTGAAATCTACTTAGTTAAGTGAATATTAAAATAAAAATCTTTAATATAAGAAATTTAATTTGAAATATGTAAGTTTTTGTAATTAAAAAAGACAAGCAAAAATAGTATTGTTAATTTTTATAAATCGCAGTTACTTTCACAGCAACATAAAAATATAAAATAATTATTATTGTTAAGCATTCAACCTTAAATTTAAATGACGAAATTAGCGCATGCGTTGACCTGCCTACATCTATTACTATTTAACTGACATGTGTAACACCGTCAACGCTTTCATTTTCTACACACACTATTTCCCCTTGACCGCTACGGGTGTATGAGGCATGTGGCGACAAAATAATCGATCCAATTGCTCAAAATAAAGATTGTCACTTGAACATTAAACCACATCACGGAACGTACGCAACGTCATTTTATTTACGCTTAACTCCAAATATATCAAAACTAAACTGCAATTTCGGAATGGCTGAAGGCACCTACGAATACGAGTGTATGAGAGCAGAATTGTTAGGCATAGAAAAGCCTAATGAGGAGGAATTCGAGAAGGCGCGGGCCGAGCGTTTGAAACGTGAACAAGAGGAATTAGAGGCCGCCGAGGCTGCGGTAATGAGCTGCAATTTACCCACACACACATACATACATGCATGCATTTAGTAAGCAATATATTATATGCGAGGAAATTTTATTTTTAGCTTCTAGAACAGCAGGAAGACCAAATGCGTAATGTAGGTGGGCGTTTGGATGAGTTGAACACAATATTATCATCGACACAACAGAAATTAAATCGCTTCAAGCAAACAGCTTGTGGTAGTCTATCAAATATATTTGCGAGAGGCTCAGTAGATTTGCCAGATGGTACACCATCCTCCTCCGCAACTGCTAGTCGACGTAATACCACCGCAACGGGAGGCAGCATTAGTGGTCAACATAATGATGAGAAGAACGACTCCGACACAAATAGTACGCAGGATCTTGGTAATGTGCGAGATCAGGAATTTGAAGGTGAAATAAAACCTATCATACCAACGGAGAAAATTAGGACAGCGAAGATGGATATACAGAAAAAAATGACTTCACACTTAGACAAATTAGACTCGTTAATTAACAAGGCCGACAATGCGGAAATTTCAATGTCGGAACAATCAAAACAAATGAGCCGTATGGCAAAGTAAAGTAAGAATGAGTTAATAGGGATGCAAACTAATAGAATAGCAAAATACATATGAGAGAATAACTATTCTTATTTAAAGCTTAGAGACAGTTGCGAAGAAACTAATTTAAGTATATTCAAATATCTGTATTATTAATTTGTGTATATTCCCCAAAAAATATTCAAAATATCGGTGGCAAAAGAAGATTAATAGCATTGATGGCAGAAAAAATAAGAAGCAAATTGGTAACCTTTGGTTAAATATTATTTTGTCTGCTTGAGCAATAACAACAAAGTGAAGAAAATAATTTACTAGTTAATTAAAGGCTTCTAAAGTAACAAAAAGTAGTTATATTTGTATAAGATACCCATAATATCAATAGAAAAAACCTAAAATCCCCTGTAATTAAATATAGCTAATTCAAATATGACACCAAAGTACTTAAAACAAAAGAAACCTAAACACTTTAAATGATTGAATTATGATGACACCTAAAGATTGAATCACACATAATTGTATTTCGAAAATTTTAAACAGTTTGACGGCATACATAACAAACCAGTAACGACAGCATTTTTATTAAATTTTCTTTGTTTTCAATTTTCTCCTAAAATTTTGCAAACATATTCGCGCACAGAAGATTTCGCTTATTTACATTTTTCTGTAATCGCTTGAAGGAATCGAGTAAATTCCCAACTATTATAAAAGAGCACACCACAAAAACAAAAGCCATGCAATCTGGAGGCGGCGGTGATCCTCCGAATACGCCGAAACAGCATGATTGTCAACGTGAGCATTTTAGTTTATAAACAAAACATACTTTTTTTTAACTGAAAAATTTTCGAGCCTTACATTTTTTTATTAGAATTCTAATAGTTTTCCTTTTAGCTCTGGCACGAACAAAATATCATTGCCTAAGAATATATCTGGGAAATTATGAATAATTAATGTTAGAGATTAAAAATTATCAAGTCTCTTAAATTGTTACAATTAAAATTATACCCTCCTGATTGTGTAAAGATTTTAAAGACAAATCATACTAGTAAATGTTAATTACAATCTTAGCCAAGTAAGCGTATTGCAAGTTCTTGAACATAAATAAAAAAGGATATAAGTATATACATATATTGACACTTAAGATATTTAAATCGGCCGCTATAATTACATAATATGTGGTAACATCTTTATGTTTAATGTCAAAGCTTAAGTTTATTTTCCTAATCTTCGTAGAATATATAACTTAGTTGAAAATGGTCGTGCGTATAGCGGTACAATTCAGGAAGCAATAAAGCATTTTCATCCAACTCGTCTAGTAGTGTGCCAAAGAGTGTAGGTGATACCTTTAAGACATGTATAGACATATCCTCTTTCCAATTTTTCAGGAGCATGCTATCGCTGCTAGTACTACTGGCACTGCTGGTCTCACCACTATCTTTTTCTCCTCTTTTGTCATCACCTCCACCTTCGTCTTCTGTTTCATCCAACAGTCTGTACAGTAATTTAAAACTTTTGCATTGCTCAAGTTGCACTTGCAGCACATTATTATTATTATGGCTGCCATGAGCCAATGGTTTTGTGTTACGTAGCACCTGTAAATGCTTTTCCAACACTTGTAATAGCAGATATTTGCGTTTCCGGCACGGAAAGGTGGCTTCCAGCAAAACTTTACAAAAGTGAATCTGTTGAAGCAATGGTTCCCCAGCAACATCTGTAACTACCGTATCTTCAATAATTTTGTGTAAAAGCTGACATGTTGGAGTGACTTTCTCGTTAACAATATTTATTATTGTATCATCCTTATCGTTAATCTGACACTTTAAAAGCAACGTGTCCATCCATAATTTCATTGCATTATCGTTGAGTACATTTTCACCCAGGTACTGCAAACATCGCCGACAGTAAACATGTTTATCTTTCATTTTGACCTGCTGTTGTGCCAACTCCGAATTAAGTACAACAAATTGAAAGCCATAAAAGAAGTCAGTTAATTGTGGCACCAAAACTTCATCGAATTTCGGTCCATGATGACAAAAAAATTCGTTTACGTCTATAGATCCAGAGGGAAATTCTCGAACTCTTTGGCATTGAAGTATAGTACTCAGTTCACATTTACAATTCTTGCACAAAACTATGTGCTGGCTGCCTTCTTCAATATTTGGCTTTGGAGTTATATAGATTTTTCTTTTATTATTTATTGGATTTTCTGTACTATCAGTAGTAACTTGGGCAGGTTCACTGGTTATAGTTAAACGAAAACTGGCATTGCACTCTTCTACAGTCAAGTTACTTATAGTACGTGCTTCCGCGGTAAAAAATTTACCGAGCGCCACGCGGGTCGCTGTTGAGTATTCTCGAAAGGTCAGTGCATCGTTTTCTACAACAATTTTTAAGAATTCCGTTTCAGTGAGACTGTGGTCAAACTGGAGGAATACATTGGCACAACGGAGGTTATGGCGCACCTCCACACAAACGTACCGCAGAGACATTCTCCGCAAACGGCTTTACAAATAACAAATTCGAGACATTAAACAATATTCAATATTGCTGCTATTTGTTTATGAAAATCAATTTGACAGACGAATTGTTTACGTTTACTTTCTTTTCTAAAACTCCCGTTTGACAATACTTAAGATTGCAAATTCGTGTTTTTAATGACATTTGCTGTTATGTTTAATTGAGTGCTGTCAGTTTATGATAAAATAAAAAAAAGGTTGCCACTCAGTTAAACCTTTTTTTAGCATGTTTAGTCCTGAACCAGAGGACGTATAATATAGAGAAGGTTTAGGGTGTGCCGAATGTACGTTCTCTGCGTAATCAATATTATACCACTGAACTCGAACAGTTGATATTAAAATAAATATATATGTATATAAATTTATCTTAAAAATCCTAAACAAGAAATCTAAAACACCAATAAATTTATATTAGATCAAAAATGTAATTTGATACAATCTGGGAATTTGAAATGAAATCTTTTTTTTTTGTTTGGTTTTTTATGAAAACTGTATAATAATCTAAATATAATTCAGTAACTTATATACATTACTAAAATAAAAACTTATTTAAGTTAAACCAAAAATTTTAAATAATTATAAACTAATAATTATTTCCCCTCTCTCCGGGAAAATTTTGTAAAATGCACTACTGGCGCGGGCGCTGTTGTCAAAGTGTATATATTTTGGTGTTTCTTTGGTCATTGTTCTGTCGTTTTCGGTCGCGCAACTCATTTTGTTGTTGACTTGCTTATCGTGGAAGTAAAAGTGATTTATTTCTTTTTATTTGTATTCCCCGTTTTGGTGTTAGCCCGAAAATTATTAAGCTAAAAGTGCATTTACCGTTGTAACATATTTCATTTACTAAGTTAAACGTTTTATATCCCAACAAAAAAGGAGAATGTGTAAGTAAATTTGTGTGCTATTAATTAAGCACATTATGAAATCATACACACACGTAAGCCTCAGCAAAGGGAAAAGAAAGGCGTACATACATATAATAAAAATAATAATATCCTTTCATTTTGGTTAACAAGTAAACAGCCATGAAAATGAAAGTAGCAATGCTGGATATTGAAAGTAAAATTTCTCTGAAATTTCGCGAAGTGAATTGCTGTTTTTACTTTGCTTCCGTTGTATTTTGCGGCCGCATTTCATTACTTTCTTTACTTACATATGTGTATGTGTGCTTTATTAATTTTTTTCCATTCTGCGTAGCGCTTTGCTTAGATGACTGCAAGACGATGACATCCTCAAAAGCAGCAGCGGGTTTGATAGTGTTGGTGTCGTGTAGTGAAGAGCCAATTTCAGCCAGCTTCGCGACGCCAACTGGCTCTGGCTCTTTGTTCAACAGCCACACCCCCCGCTTGCTCTGGCACTATGTAG